ACTTACAGTTCATGAAATATCTTAGGTATGTCATATCACCTATTATTATTCAAATAAACGCAAGTTGGACGCAAGGGGGAAAGTCTCGTTGGTTAAGATAAACTCGTGCTATTCTCCGTAGGGAATAAAGCTATGCACATTAACTTGAAGAGGGCGGAGCATCGAAACAATGAAGTTTTCGTGGTATTGTTTTCGCCATTGCCCGCACCTCTCAAAGTAAATTTACCGCTTCTGCCTGAAAAAAATGAGCGAAAATTTTGTTATTGATCCGTCTAAAAGAAAGGAAATGGTGTGCTCTCTTCTCGTCGCCCGAGCAAAACAATCGTTTGTGTCAAAATCCTTAGTTTTAAAATGTTTGGTTGATTCGTTGGAAAGAGTTGCTTGAAAGCTGCTTCAAACTAACTATCATGTTATTCTTGGATCGCGTTCGATCAAGTTTCTTTGAAAATGGCAAAGTCGCGCTCGCTTATNCATTAACTTGAAGAGGGCGGAGCATCGAAACAATGAAGTTTTCGTGGCATTGTTTTCGCTATTGTCCGCAACTCTCAAAGTAAATTTACCGCTTCTGCCTGAAAAACATGAGTGAAAATTTTGTTATTGATCCGCCTAAAAGAAAGGAAATGGTGTGCTCTCTTCTCGTCGCGCGAGCAAAACAATCGTTTGTGTCAAAATCCTTAGTTTTACAATGTTTGGTTGATTCGTTGGAAAGAGTTGCTTGAAAGCTGCTTCAAACTAACTATCATGTTATTCTTGGATCGCGTTCGATTAAGTTTCTTTGAAAATGGCAAAGTCGCGCTCGCTTATGTTTGCAAAATATAAAGATAGCGCGGATTGGATCGTGCTCGCTCGAACGGATTTAGTTTTTTCGTTATGTTATGCAAATACAGTTGAACCCCGCTATTTCGAACTCTAAAGTGGAAACGAAAAATAGCTCGAGTCAAGCAGTCGTTCTATGAGTTTTAAAGTTGGCGGGCTACTGACCAATGATTCGCATTTAACGACTGAGTGATTTTTTTGAAAAGATATGGTAACTTTTAGACAGCCATTGTTATGCAGTCGTGTGCTTCAAACAATAGGGAGTTTACGAAACCACGACGGCAACGGCAACGGGAACGTCACTGAACAAAAGAATTAATGAGCAGAACAATGGCTGTGCACGTGCTTTATAATTCTTGGTACTTTTCTTTGCCGTTCTCTGCAAGACAACAACGTGAACTGACCAAATTTTGGGTTGTCTAGAGAATGTGAACCACGACGGCTAATTTTTTAAATTTTTATTTCAAATTTATCGCTGTGTTCCGGATTTGGTTTTGCGGCAGTTTTGACAGTGATAAACAAAGCAAATGACTTAAGAGTATCACGAGATTCGTAGGTAA